CTTCCCAAGCGGCGCACTATAGCAGTGCGCCACCGGGCCGGCCCCTTGGATGTATTTTTTATTTGTGGTTATTTTAAATTAGTTTTCGGTTGTTGATTTCTTTTTTTTTTTTTTTTTCCTTTTTTGTCTTTTTTACTGACCAGCAACGGGATCGCACCCCTCGGTGTTGTGCCTGCACCGCGCTCAGCCAGTGAGCGGGAACCAGTCTCCACATGGGATCCGAACCCTCAGCAGGAGCGCTGCTGCGCTCTCAAGCGGCGCACTCTCCAGTGCGCCACCGGGCCGGCCCGTCGGTTGTTAATTTCTAACTTAATTGTGTTGTGGGCTGTGTGATGCCAATTATTTGAAATTTGCGGAGACCTGCTTTATCCTCTAGTATGGGCAGTTTTCATACCTATTCTGTGTTTATTTGAAATTCTGTAGTGGGTCGCTGCATTCAGTGCCCCAAGCTTGTTAAGGTGCTGTGTAAAACTTCTGTGTCCTTTCAGATGCGTGGCTACTGAGAAGGATGCCATGGTCTTTCAGTCAGGGGTGGATTTGCTTGTGTCCTCTTGTTCTGGAGTGTGTACACGAGGTGTCATTAGGTGCGTGCACGTCCTGGAATTTTGTGACAGGACTCTGGTGGTTCTTCGAACCTCACAGTCTGTTTCGACTGCTCTTAGGACTGCCGTGCTGGGCTTTCTTTTGGTGAGTATTTTCCTGCAGTGTCTTTTTTCTCTTTCTATGTTCAACCTTTTATATCCTTCTGGATTAGGTGCGTCTTATTAGCAGCATGCAGGTGAATTTTAGAACGTATTTCCAGTTCAGCCTGACCATCAGTGCCACTTACCTTGTGCCACTCAGCGGTGTCGTTTGTGTGCTGTGTACGGTTAGAGACGTGTCCGGATGCGTTCCTTTTGTCTTGTTCCCAGGTTGCTTTCTATGTGTCCCCACTCCTTCTGTGTTGGGTCATTGTGTGCATTTCCCGGCCGTGCGTGGGTGTTTTCACTCTGTTTTTGCTTCCTCGAGGTTAGAAATGACACACACGACTTCTCTTCACTTAGTGGCTACCTAATGCTGTGCTGAAGACTAAAGCGTTGCTCCTCTTCTGACACAGTTAGGGCCCAGTGCAGGTGGACTCTGGTTGCTACCCCAGCCTGCATGCTATGTCCCTACTAACCTAGTTACGTCCCGGGTTTCTTTACTGCCGTCCTTCCCCATTTAAACTTATTGTTTTCAGTGGTCAGTGATAGTCCGGCTTTATCCTCCCACACCTGCATCTTCTTCTTCCTTGCTCTTGTCTGTCTGCTTTCTCAGACCTCCCCTCTGGGGTCTCCTTTCTTCCTCTCTTCAAGTTCCTTTCACTCGGTTATTGGTGGTGAGCCCTGGCCTTACCGCTGCCGTGGACCCCGGGGCATCTAGCGATGCCTGTGGACCCTGCTTATGATGCACAGAATAAAATGTGGAGGGCCTCCAGGGAGGACAGGCATGTTGGCTCGAGGTGCGTGTCCCTTGTCCCTTAGCTGGCATGTGGTGGCATCTTCTGCCTGCCCAGGTTGCTCAGACTGGAAGGCCCCAGGCGTTTCTGGATCTCAGGGCGATGAGTCTGAAAGAGCGCAGCCCAGCTGTGCAGCACCAGCACCCACCGTGTGCCGCCCGTCAGGGACGTGTCTCTGCTTTCTCCCTCCTGCTGGTAACCTAGGACAGGTGAGCAGGCTCCAGGTCATCGTCCTCCAATAGAAATGTAACGTGGGCCATGCGCATAATTTAAGAATTTCTACAAGCCATGTTAACATAAAGAAGAAAAGGTGAAGTTACTTTAGCAATATATTTTATTAAAGCCCAACCTATCCAAAATATGCTCATGTTAAGATGTCATCAGTAGCAGCATTACGAACGAGATACCTTACATTTTTTTCTGTACTGTGTCTCTGAGGTCCGGTACACAAGGTGTGTGCACAGCCCACCCGGGCTTGGACCTGCCACGTGTCCGGCGGCCCGTGGCTGCTGTGTTGGACGGCATAGATCTGGGGTGAGTCGTGGGTGTTCAGCATCTTTCTTGTTCCAGGGGATGGCTGCGTCCCGGCTGCGGAGCACTGCTTGCGGGAGGCAATCCTGGCCAAGTTCCTGTACTGGCTGATGGACACGTATGTGGCCGAGCTGCTCAGATCATTTTTTTATGTCACGGAGACCACGTTTCAGAAGAACAAGCTCTTCTTCTACCGGAAGAGTGTCTGGAGCAAACTGCAGAGTATTGGCATCAGGTATCGCATCAGACACCCAGCGGTCCCCCTTCTCACAGCCTCACAGAAGGAAGCACCGCCCCTCCCCCACGGCGTGCGCCAGCCTCCTGCCAGCCTGTTGTGCAGCCGGGACCCTCTAGGCACTGACGGCCTGGAGCCCTGCTTTCTTACCTGTAAAATCGGGGATTGGGCTGCACAATCTCTAGGATCTAAAGTGGAAGGAATTGGTATTGAACAGAAATGGCACCAGCAAGCCACTTGCTCACCTTGGGACAAGGGTCAGATTCTATTCTTTTTTTTTTTGACCAGTAAGGGGATCGCGACCCTCGGCACAGTGTCGTCCGCACCACGCTCACCCAGTGAGCACACCGGCCATCCCTATATAGGATCCGAACCCGCAGCCTCGGCGCTACCAGCGCCGCACTCTCCCGAGTGAGCCACGGGCCGGCCGAGATTCTATTCTAATCCATACTCTTCCATATTAATATTCATTCTACTGGAACTTAGGCCACAGATGATAAAATCCTGCCTACTTGACAACTCACTGTAGGAAACGGGATAGAAACGTTTCACTATAGGGGAAAAAACACCTGAGCAGCCAACTTCTAGAAGGTTGAATTTGACTGAACGGCCCCGAGCTTGCCTCTTGGTTGCTCAGCTGGTGTTTGGTGTCGGAGTGTGTGGGGCTGCAGTAGACTTCATTTGGGTTTGCATCCAGTGAGGAAATGAAGTGACGGGCTGGGGACAAGGGCCCTGCTGAGCTCAGACCACGGCCTTAGCTCTCTGGTCTGGCCTGGCTGGCAGGTCATCTGAGCCTGCCTGCCTCAAAGGGCTCGGTGACAACCCTTTGGCAGTGAGATCAGAGCCTCCTGAGCCCCTCTGCACGTTCGAATTCTGTGGAAAACTTTTCACAGTCTTTTACCCTGAACCAGGACGGTAGTTTCCTGTAAGTTCACCCACCTGGTGTCTGTCGCGTGGCTCCCTACCGTGTCCTGAGAGGCTCTGTGTTGTAGACAGCACCTTGAGAGGGTGCAGCTGCGAGAGCTGTCGGCAGCAGAGGTCAGGCAGCGCCGGGGAGCCTCACCCACCCTGCTGACGTCGAAACTGCGCTTCATCCCCAAGCCCAACGGGCTCCGGCCAATCGTGAATATGGACTATATTGTGGGAGCCAGAACATTCCACAGAGAAAAGAAGGTGACCCTGCTTTCATTCTGTTTTATTTCTAAACAAAAGTGTGTTTAAAGCCCATGTTTGGTGTTGACTTTGACAAGGGGCCCCCGAGAGATGCAGCCAGGGCCCACCATATCCCAAGTTCCTAGTGGCCAAGTGAGGGGCACAAGGGGCCGGTTGATACTGGGTCCAAACGAGCCGCACATAGGAGGTCCCAGCAGCTCCAGGAACGGGCACCGAGGACCACAGGGAGCAGCTGGTCCTGGTCCTGGGCACGGCAGGGCCTACGAGGTGCCTGTGGCCCCAAAGAAACCAGGCAGAAGGAACCAGGGTGGCAGCTGCCACTCAGCTGTCACCAGCCTGCTGGTTTCTGAGGACCCCAAGGACCTTGTCTGGGGCTCCTCCCCCACCCAGGGCTCTTGTCCTCCTTGGGGCTCCTGCCCCTGTGCTACTGCGTCACCGGCAGCTCTAACCCCTCCTTCCTAGTGCCTCCGTGTAGCACTTGGTGGTAATTTTGTCATTAGTGACACCCCCAAAGCAGAACACAAAGCCATGGTCCCCACGACTAGATCAGGGTCTGGTCTGGTCTGGTCTTGGTGAATGTAGATAAACCCGAGCCTGACCCTTCTGGGTTAAGTGCTAGTGTCTGACCCCAGAGCCCAGTGGGCGTGCCCCCCACAGGAGGTGGCTCCCCTCCTCATCCGTGGGAAAGTGGGGACAGAGAAGGGTCACATGAAGGTCTTGCATGTAGCCTGGTGCACTTTCCAGACATGGTTCCCTGGGCTCTCTGAGAGCCCAAGTCTACCTGGGCTCTGGCACAGTGCTGGGGGAGGCTTGGGGAGGCTGAGTGGGCATAGGGGTGACTGGGGAGCACCAAGGTGGGGGCGATGACATCCCATGTGGCTGGCCCCCAGGCCCAGCAGGTCAAGGCACAGGTCAGGACCCTGTTCAGCGTGCTCAACTACGAGCGGGGGCGGCGGCCCGGCCTCCTGGGGGCCTCCGTGCTGGGCATAGATGACATCTACAGAGCCTGGCGGGCCTTCGTGCTGCGCCTGCGGGCCCAGGACCCCACACCCAGGCTGTACTTCGTCAAGGTGGGTCTGCCCTGCCCTCACGTCCTCAGGGTCTGGGGTCTGGGGATCAGCAGGATCCAGCAGTGGATGGGTGTGTCCAGCCAGGATGGTACACGGGCAGGGGGCTCAGGGTCTCCCTGGTCCTCCTGCATCTGATTCACTGCAGGGTTTGCTACAGACAGGTTGGGCCCACGCTCGGGGGGGAACAGAACTGTGGGGCTTTGACCTCGTGGGGGCCAGGTGACATGAGTCGCTGATGGTCCTCACCTCAACTCACACAGGTGGACGTGACGGGGGCCTATGACACCATCCCCCAAGACAGGCTCGTGGAGGTGATCGCCAGCATTATGCAGCCCCCAGAGAACACGTATTGTGTGCGCCGGTATGCGGTGGTCCAGAGAACAGCCCACGGGCACGTCCGCAAGCTCTTCAGGAGACACGTAAGGCCCACAGCAGGCGTGTGTTCCATGATGTTCATGATAAAGGTGTGCCCGTGGTGCGGATGTGTCTGTGGTACAGATGTGTCTGCAATATAGATGTGGCTGTGGCATGTGTCCATGATACAGGTGGGTCCGTGACATGGTCAGGTTCATGATTCATGTGTATCCATGATTCAGGTATGTCTGCACCATTGGCGTGTCTGTGGCGTGTGTGTCTGGCATATGTGTATGCATGGCACAGGCATGTCCTTAGTGTGGGTGGGTGTGTTTTAGGCATGTTCATGACACATGCATGTCCATAATGTGTGTGTTTGTGGTGTAGGCATGTCCATTTCATGGTGTGTGCAGCCCCGGCCTGCCCGGTGGGTGCTGAGCAGAGCCTCCTGGGAGGTGCCTCTGCCCCTGTCTGCAGGCATTTTTGTGTTGTGTGGCAAGTTATGCGTTGAAGGTCCTCTCTTCCCGTGGCCAGTAACTCCTGTGCTGTCCCAGCATCAGGGCCTCGGGTTCTGCAAGCCAGGTCCAGGCAGGGAGGAGGGCCATAGTGGCGTCCCCACGGCCATCCTCCCTAGGAGTCCCATGCCCAGCTGTGCCATGCAGAGGGGCTGAGTGTGCACCGTGCCAGTTCCATGAGGGCAGGAGGGCCCACGACGCAGGGAGTCGCTTGCTCGAGGGCCCCTCCCAGGGCGACTGGGTCTGAAGCCTCAGCAGAGCTGAGCAGAGCACCTGGGATTTGGGCTCCCGGCCAGTGGTTGTGAGCACTCTGGGGTAGGGGGACTCAGCACTGTGCCCAGCGGGTGGGGAGGGGGGACGTGCAGAGGGGAAGGATCTTCCTGGAGCCTGAGGTCTGGGGAGAGGCAGGTAAATCCCACAGGGATGTGTTTATTTTCTTTTCTGTTGAATCAAGACTTATGCAGGTATCGTTATCAAACCATTTGTACCACCCACGCAACTTTATGTCTGTGGGCACCTGGTGGCCAGCACCTGCATCAAGGTGCAGAGAACCAGCAGCACCCAGGAGACCCCCTCGCTTCCCCCCCTGCTAAAGCCCTTCCCCAAGGTGACCCCAATCCTGACCTCCCTCCCCGTGGACACACTTTACTTGTCTCCACATGCGTGAAATTGGGCGGCACATGATGTTCGGGGTCAGGGGTCGTTAACTCTGGAGAGACTGAGATTCGGCCGTGTGGCAACGTGCGGCCCCCACCTTCCAGAGTGGCGTTCCGTGTGCGCAGCTCCATGGCAGTGGATGCTTCAGTGGTTCTGGGCTTGGGCTGTTCTGAACGATGCCGCTGTGAACATTCTTGGTTGGTGTCTTCAGTGCAGAAACCCTCACTGCTGGGTGACTCCCAGGGGTGGGGCTGCTGGGCCACAGCCGTCCTTTTGTTTACTTTAGTGACACTGCCCAAGGGTTTTCTGGCATAGTTGCAGGGTCACACTCGCCAACACTCGGCAGCGTGAGCCCTGGAGGCCACAGCGCGCCTGACGGTGCTGGAGCGGTCCTGTGAATGTCCGTTAGCATCTTCGTGACGACCGGGATGCTGAGTGCCTCCGTGTGTGCGACAGCTTGGACAACCTCGTTGCGAGATGCCTGTTCAAGCCATTTCCCCAGTTTGTAAGGGCTGCAGCCTCTCTTGTGATTTCTAGGAGCTCTTCACATGTTCTGTGCACAAGGCCATCGTCGAATGCACGTGTCGTGCAGAAGTTTTAATTTTAGTGCAGTCCACTTTATTGTTTACGGCAAAAACCGTTATGCTCGAGAAACCTGCCTGCCCCGGGTTGTGCCGACGTTCTTCTGCGTTTTCTTCTAGAACAACGTCCGTTGCTTTAGCTTTCACAGTTGGGTCTAGGATCTGTTCTGAGTTCATTTCCGTGCGTGGCGTGAGACAGAGGTCCAGGTAGACCTTTCCCCATGTAGACACGTGGTTGCTCCGACACCCTTTACTGATAAGACCACGTTTTCCCTTGAATTGTGAATCAGGAGCACGGGGTCCCTTTGGGCTCCCATCCATTGTGTCCACGCGTTGGCATCCTGCGCGTGACCGCGACCTGCGGGCGACCGGGCGGGGCCTCCTTGTCCTGCAGCTGTGTTCTTTGTCCTCGATGGTGCCCTGGCCGGGCTCAGTTTTTGGAATTTCTCTGCGAGCTGTAGATTTACTTTCTTTGAATTCTGTGATATCTGTTGTGATACCCTTTTCACTCTTGGCTTTTCATTGATGGTTTGTTTTCTTTTTCTAGGGATTTTTCAATTTTATTTATATTTTCAAAGAGCTGGCTTTTGAGTTTGTTAGTTTTTTCTACTGTTTATTTTCTACTTAATTGATTTCTGTTCTTTACTATCTGCTTCTGTTTTTTTTAGGTTTAATTTACTGTTCTTTTTCCAGCTTCTTGAGGTGCAGGCTTTGAACATGGATATTTGAACTTTCTGTTCTAAATAAGCATTTAAAGTTACAAACTTCACCTAGAACTGCTTCAGCAGCGTCTCGTGCACTGTGACACGTCGTCTTTTCATTGTCATTCAGTTCAATGTCATTCAGCCCCTCCATGCTAACCCGTGGGTTAGGAGTATATTGCTGACGGCGTGATTATTAACAGTGGAGGGGCCTCCACGTGTCTCTGTGGCCGCTGTCCAGGTCACCTCTGCAGTTTAGTCATGCCTCTCGTGCGTGTGACCGCAGCACTGTGGCAGATTCACGGGGCCCAGGGAATGTTCTAGCTGAGAGCCAGCCTGCACATCCGTGGGCTCCCTCCCCAGCCCGGCGGTCGTGCCGAGAGCTTCGCGTTGTGTGGCGTTCTGCTGCGTTCATTTGGGTGACATCCTGTCTTGGGGACACTGGGCTTTGCGGTTACTGTGATACAAAGCAAGCGTCGCTGTGAGGCAGGAGGCAAGGGGCCGTCCCCCTCCCACTCCGCGTGCGTGCCGTGGCTGCGCCCTGCCTCTGCCGGAGGTCGGAAAGGCCTTGGGGAGAAGCTGGTGGTGCTTTGCTCCTGACAGTCGGTAGCGGCTGCTCTGATGAGGGGTGACCATGGGGCAGTACCCGGTGTTCCTGTGGCACTGTTCTGCCCCCCGTGCTTCTCTCCCCCTGTTCCCAAAGCTTCATGGTGGGGCTTTCCCAGGCTTTGTTCTGGTCGTCTGGCTTGGACGTCTGTGGCACGACCTCTGCCTGCTGGTGTCCTGTCTGGAAGAGCCATGTGCCCTACTCGGGCCACAGAGGGTGGCGTCCAGCCCCTCCATCCTCTTCTGCTCTTTGTCAGCAGGTCTCCACCCTCACGGACCTCCAGCCATACATGCAGCAGTTTGTGGAGCATCTGCAGGAGACGGGCTCGCTGAGGGACGCCGTCGTCATCGAGCAGGTGCCCGGTGGGGGTCAGGCCACTGGGCGCTGCGCTGCATGGACTGTTTATCTGTCGGGAGGAGCGAGGCAGGGACTGACGGCGGCCGCTTTCCCAGCGGGAGGGTCCCCACCGCGTCCACTTAGCTGTGCTGCGTGGTGGGGACCGCTTCCGTGGGAGCAGCGCACTCTCCCTTTGTGCCTGGCCGCTCTGCTGTCTGCAGCTGCTTTCCTAGGGGTTTGCTAGAGATGCTTCTCCCTCAACCTTGATCTGGAGGCAAAGGAGAAAGTGTCCTCTTCCTTTAGGAGGGCAAGTTGGAATCGACCTGTAGACCCCCCTCCACCTGCCCCGCCACGTGTAAAATCCATTTTCCTTGGGAGCCGAGGCCCAGTTGTCAGTGGCAAATCTCCTTACGTGCTCTGTGGTCCTTTGCAGAATCTTTGTTTAGTGATTATTCCAGTTAGGGGACAATTGTGTCCATGAGGTGATGCTCTGAGGCCTCTGGATGAATTTCTCATGGTTCCCGGGCTGGTGTGGGCTCTAGGCACCCAGATCCAGTGCCATGGGGCCAGGCAGGTGCATTTTATATAGCAAGTACTGTCTGGGTTGCGGTGAGCATGGGGTCTGAGCCCAGTTGGACACACAGGTGACGTTCAGCCTTGTGCAAATGCCATCGGCCTTCGCAGACTCGGCCCCAGCTAGACTGGCCTGCAGCTAGCCCAGCCCCTCACCCCCCATGAAGAACTCACCCCATGGGTCTTACGTGAGGGCCCACACCGCCTCCTGGCGTCCTCGCGCCCATGCGCCCATCCTGCGTCTCTGCTCGCTCCTCCAGAGCTCCTCTCTGAATGAGACCAGCCGCAGCCTTTTCAATTTCTTCCTGCACTTCGTGCATGACAACATCATCAGGATTGGGGGCAGGTGAGTCGACGGGTCGTCTGGATTCATCTTGGATTGTGCCAGCTGGGCCGTGGCTACTCAGAGGCGGGTGGCACGAGCTGGTGAGATCCACTGACTGGCCCCTGCCACTTCACTCCCCTTGACTCTCTCAGCTTCCCCTCCCCACCAGGGCCCCTGGGAAGCTCCCAGGCTCCAGGCTGCACACCCCATGCCCCAGGGCACCAGGGACCCATGAGGCATTGACGTAGCCCGAGGGAGCTCAGGCCTGCTCCGTGCTGAGTGCGGTCATGTAGCTGAGCCTGCACAGGTGTGGGGTGTTGGTGTGTGGGGTCACAGGTGCAGCCCAGTGTTTGGGCTGCAGTCTGTAAGCTCCATGTGGCCACCACAGCTGAACACCTGAGTCTCCGGCTTCCTCTCACTTGAGCTTTCCAAATGACTTTTTATTCAGTCACATACCCCCTGGCAAGGGTGCAGGCCCCAGTCTCTGGCTCAGGCTTCCTGTCTGGAGAATGGAGCAGCGACCTGCAGGTCGTGGGACCTGTGCTGGCCACAGAGTGGGTGGGTGTGAGCCACAATGGGTCGTGGGCTGCCTGGAGGAGCCACTGTTGCCCGGCTGCTGGTGGGAACAACCAGACCCACTGCAGCAGAAGCTCACGGGGTGCCAGGGCAGCGGAACCTCGGCTGGCATGAAGGAGCCAGGACTCCCGTGGCCAGCAAGGCCCTCTGGCACTTACATGCTTTTATAGTCACACAAACAAAATCCAGCACTTCGTGGGCAAGTTTAAATATACTTCTTGCTTGAAATTTTAAAAATTAAGGGAAGTCATGATTAATCGGGGAATAGGGGTATTCCACACGCTAACTCTATCCACTGAAACCATTCCAGGTCACGGTGAGAGGAGGGGACGGGGTGGTAGGAGTACAAGTGCTGCTTCATTTGATGTGTTTTAGGTATTTGCAGACTGAGAGTGGTAAATACCATTTTCATATGTGCGTGCACACGTGTGCACACATGTGTGTGATCTGTGTGTGTGTGGTGTGTATGAATTCACGCATGTGTGCATGTGTGTGTAGTGTGGTTTGTGTACGTGTGCTTGTGTGTGGCATGGTGTGTGTCATGTGCATGTTGTACACGAGTGTGTATGTGTGCATGTGGTCTGTGTAGTGTGGTCTGTACATGTGTCGTGTGTGTGGCATGTGACATGCATGTGTGCATGTGTGTGAAAAAGCACAAAGCCCACGTGGCCACCTGCCTGCCTCTTGCCACCCCCTAGGTCCTACGTGCAGTG